CGTCCTCGGCATCCACATTCTCTTCAGCAGCACGCCGCGGGGCTGCATGAACCCCACACCGCTCTTTGCGAGCAGGCATGTAGAGCTGTTGGAAAGGCATGTTGGCGAAGGGCACATGCAAGGGGGAAAATGAAATCGACAAATGTACTTGACTTCCAGCACCCTCACAATCTTTGCAACAAGAAAAATGTGAATGCTTTGTCCGACTGGTTGGCGTCGCAGTGACCGAACATTTTCCACAATTGGGCACTTGGGAACTTGTAGGAAAACACGCAGAAGGCGGAAGCCCTAGTGGTTTTTTAATTTTGGCAATACGCGCATTAAGCTACAATGTGGTAGGCAGGAAACCTGAAGCCTCGGCTTGGCACTTAGTCAGGCCAGCAGCTTGAGGGTGAGGTTGCTGCGAAGCATGCAGGATCTACCCACAGCCCAGCAGCCTACTAACTCATTGGTTTTCCGTGCGTACCAAATCACCCCATAAATGAATCTCTTTACATGTCACTTGGCCACAAACAAGCGACCTAATGTTACCGGTGACAGACGAACCCATCCAGCTAATATTGCCTGGAACTGATCTTGCAACAGAGTGCTTGGGAGCTTCTTCTCCAAGCCTGTCACATTTTCCAGCACTGCCGTCCTTGGCTGCCGTCGGACGCAAGAAAAGCAGGCTGTGCACGGAGAGCATGGACTTAAACGCCTAGTCTATCTTCATCTGACTGCCCTTGTACCAATGTCTTTTAGTTTTTTTAATAAGACCCACGTACGTACCAACATAAACCCAACGAAGGCCCAATATGGCCCCGACATGACCCAAAAACTGGTCTCTAGGCCTAGAAAGAACACGCCGTTCGTGGCCGAACATAGGTTCAACACCGCTTTAACATAGCCCCAGTATTACAGAAATTCACTAAGTCACTAGTTATATTTTCTTCTATTGTGCTCAATGTCACTACATCTTTTGTTAGCCTGGCAGGGAACTGACAGCACTACGCTACTACACTAGATCCAGATCCTGGCTAAGCCTATCAGAGAACCTTTGTCAAAGCTGTGACGAATTATATCCGAGGAACTTCGGACGGTACACGGAGATGAACCTTGACGTCTCAATGAACGGCGTGGCAAGAGGCACCTGAGCCATCGTAAAACGCACACTTCCAACGAGCTTAGCTCTAAACAAGATGGCAAAACGCTGCCATTCAAAATGTCCCACTTTCACGCAGATATCCTGCCCATCTCTTTCTCCTTCCTCTCATGCAACAGCTGCACAGAGCTGAAAACAATTGCTTCCTGATTCCAATTTGTTCAAAGAAACAAACATCCTGAAATCTGGGCTGCAGAAGGCCACGTGCTATGGCTCTAGATTTGCCAAGGAACATCTCCGTCTTCATTCCGAAACATGGATGGGACGTCCGCATGGGTAAATCTTACAGGGCTCTCGCTACTGAAGAGCTTACACACAAATCCGGCGCAGTATAAATCCAAAGGCTTGTGCGCCTGCGCCAAGCGAAGGGCAAGTCCACCCCAAAGACTATGGTCACCGCTTCTTTGAAACCAATACCTTTTTTTTGGCTGCAGATAGTGGCTAAAACAGAAAATGTTTCGGCACTTGGGGCAGTGACGACTTGATGCAATAGCAATTTCATATGAATTGGCAGGCGCAGCGCATCACACCTTGCAGATTTCTTGCCAGGCCCGCATACGCTTTTGATTACTTAGTTTGCCCGTCTGCCCTTGTCACTGTGAAATTTCTTACCTGGCCTTTTCATTCCCTGCCGCACCTCATGGCCAGCTGGTGGGTCAGCCGGGCAAAATTTCTTGCAAACTGCGCAACTTCCACCAGTCCTCAAGAAGCCGGCTGGAATATACCCCTGACCACTGGTTCTTTTGAAAAAAAAATCATCCTGCCACAGAACGGCTCATGCGTGTTGTTTGCCGAAGCACCTTGCGAAGGTCATGTCTTTCCAGCAGTGTCTCGCCCAGTGATTGGCCAAGAACCAGTCCCGCGTAGGCCCCTCAATGGCGCCAGCTCCCCCGCTAGGCACTTGACCAAGTTCCCCTCAACGAAACTATTTGCAACAATTGACTAATGTAAGTATGCTGCAACCAAACCACATGCTTCTCACTTGACACTAGCTCCAGGTGGTTTCCAGGGAGCAGCTGATTCATAGCGAATGTCGGCGCGCCACTTCCACTGCAGGCAGTTCCAAAAGCCTCAGTCGGGCAAATTGCCATTTTTTCCTACATCTTCATCAAGTGAAATGGTTTTGCCAAGAAAGTTAGAAAGAAGCACATGCCCCTACGATAGGAGCACTTCAGCAAGCGTCAACAAAACATCCTTGGTCAACAGCCGTAGCGCATTGAGCCTGATAAAATAAAGTTCAAGCAACCAGGGGCCTGTCCAGGCCAGATCGGAGTTTGTCCAAGCCAGATGCCACTTCAGGCAACTCACAGCAGGTTTCCAGCCATTCAACGCACTGCGGCCGGAAGCCAGGATTCGAATAGCTGCCGGTGTCAGAGCCATCATCCCTCGGCGAGGCATTCAAAACAATAGGTTCTCAGTCCAGAAGTTCTACAGTAGCTATTGCTGACAGATTCAGAGCGTCCTAGGCATCTGTGATGGAAAACCGGTATCACAACTTGTGCAGGCGATGTGTGATTTGGAAAGGCGCTACACTTACTGGCAAAAAATTGCGGCACCCATTGACAAGCACAACTTTCTTGATTGTTGTTGTTGTGGCGGCTCACAGCAGTAGCTGCAGCCCGGGAACACACCTCCACCGGCAGATCGACAGACAAGCTCCGATAAAACAAACGCCAATCACAACCACCAAAGGAAGCAGACAGCCCAAGGCGGGCAGAGGCCCCAGAGCACCAATCAACAAACACCGACCCCAACCGCCAAACCAGACACACCCCAGCGCGGGCAGAAGCCACAGGGCACCACAAGAGAAACACCAACCAGCGACCAGCAACAAAGGACAAATGCCAACCACAGCCACCAAGAAGAAGAGAGGCACAACAGAAGGGCAAAACCAGCAAACAAAAAACAAAATAGACATTTCAACATGGGCAGAGCCCCAGAGCGCCAAAGGACAAACACCGACCACAAACCACAGCCACTCAGAGAAGAAGACAAACACCCCAGGGCGAGCAGAAGCCCCAGGAAGCCCAGAGCACCAAATAACAAACACCAGACACAACCACCAAAAGAAAGACACCCCAGGGCGGGCAGAAGCCACAGGGCACCAAAAGAGGAACACCAACAGCAGCGACCAGCATCAAAGGACAAAAAACAACCGCAGCTGCCAACACGAATAGAAGCAAAACAGAGGGGGCAGAACCCAAACAAAGAAACGAAAGACACCCAGAAGCCCCAGGGGGCCAAATGACAAACACCGACCACAACCGCCCACCACAACCAGCAACAAACGCGACACAAGCGGCAACGGCGAACGCCAAGAGCAATCAAACGCGGCACTGTCACTCTTGCACAGGCCTGGGAGGGGGGATGGGGGGTGCCCGTCGGGAACAAACCCTTAATGCCGCCCCCAGTGGTCCACCCCATCCCATGAAATCTCACAACTTTCTTGACATACAACTTAAGTTTTTTCAGCTAAGCATCCCTGGCCTGTGTGGCGACCTTGACCGTGAGGAGTCGCGGCCCATGGGTCTCAGAACGCAAGCAAACACAAACATGAATCTCAGTTTCTTTCTTTTGATAGGACTTGATGCTATATGCTGGTGTCATTTCGACTGGCTTCCACTCAAATTTGCGGCGTAAGAAACCACAACAATTTGTGCTGGTGTCAAGGACTCAACCATATGAGTTACTGCTCCCAGTTTGACAAGGTCTGGCCACATGTCAGGCAACACAGCCCCACAGTCTGCTACTTGCAACCTAGTTTCGCATACAGCGTTGACATCGGCATCTCCAAGGTTCCAGCAGCTTTAGCAGCTTTGAGACAGGAACGCTAGAGCGAATGAAAATTAAAACGGAAACCTGCCAAACATGAAAAGGCCACACACTTTGTCTCATCTTTCTCCTCAAGGCAATTGTTTCTTTCATGCTGTTTTCAATTTCGACCATGCTGTCGGCATACGATGTGTTCCTAATCCTAACGTCTATACATGGAATTTTCTCAAATGTCGGAACCATTCAGAAATTAACCCATGTTATCACGACAAAATGATGATTATGATTATGATTGGTTCCTTGGTCAGGCTACTTGAAGCGGAAGCATCCATGACCCATCACTATAAAAGAAATCTTTGTCTTTTTTGGCTACTTGAAGGGGAGGGTCCAAGACTACGAAATGGCAAATTGATGCTATTGGAATTCCTGGAGCCCTCTTTCATTTATAATGCCAAGCCTGCCTGCAATTGCTACAAAAAAGAGTGCCGGTTCCACCGCATATGGACTTTGCGCTTCAGAAGGGTGGCCTCTTTGGTCTTAGCGGGTTGCCATCTGAAGGGCGATGCTTTCAAGGGAGTTCACAGACTCAACCGCTGACGGTTTACAAAATGTTGCGCCCAACCTGTTACTACCCAACCCCGCATATAGACCCTATATATTATTCAAATTTATAAGCCCGGTACGGGCCTAAGGCCTCCTCTTTCGTGCTGGGAATTGGAACGGGGATCGTCCCGTCTTCGCACCTTGCAACAACAAATCAATAGCCTTGATACCCTCCCACCCCTTTCAGCCACCCCTCGCGCACCACAAATCACTAGCCTTGATACCATCCCACCCCTTTCAGCCACCCCTCGTGCACCACAAATCAATAGCCTTGACACCGCCCACTCCCCTCAGCCACCCTTAGTGCACCACAAATCAATAGCCTTGACACTCTCGTGCCCCACCCCTTCCACCTTCTTCAGCCGCCCCTCGAACACAAATCAATAGCCTGGATACCCCCCCCACTCCTGTCAGCCACCCCTCGTGCACCACAAATCAATAGCATTGATGCCCCCATCCTTTTTCAGCATTACTTCCTGCACCACTAATCAGTAGCCTTAATGTCCTGCCACCCTGTTAAGGGACCTTTCCTGCACCGCAAATCAGTAGCCTTACTGTCCTGCCACCCTGTTCCGCCACCCTTCCTGCACCACAAATCAATCGCCTGAATGTCCTGCCGCCCTGTTCCGCCACCCTTCCTGCACCACAAATCAGTCACCTTAATGTCCTGCCACCCTGTTCCGCCACCCTTCCTGCACCGCAAATCAGTAGCCTTAATGTCCTGCCACCCTGTTCCGCCACCCTTCCTGCACCACAAATCATAGGTTTTGGTACCGGTTTGCTCTTCCAGATGTTTAGCAGGCAGTGGGTCTCCCAACTTATAAAGCCAACGATCGACCGCCAGAAGTCTGCACTCAGGCCAAGGAACTGCGAAAACACCTGTGTGCATGCATACCATGTTCGAGCAGGGAAGTCCAACAGCAAACTTGATTTCTTGGCCCATATGGCGTAAGCACTCCTTAAGAATCTTTGTAAACCACCGCACACGCTGCCGATATGAAAATCCTTTCAGAGTCAAATGCGGGACAGTGGCTCCATCCCTCCAGCCGTTGAGTTTGACCGGGCCCGGATTCCCAGTTGCGGCCATGAAATCTGCATACAGTTGGATGTGGCTAACCCAGCGAATAGGCTCAGTACTGGTAAACAGAACATCCCAAAACCAGCTAACCACAATTCTGACAACATCTTCCCCATACCACCGAATGGCTTGAGCCGGAAGTGTCAGCGGTCGAAGCCCTGTCCAAATCGGAAGAGGCATCGTCACTCCAGATACTGGCACAGCTTCAAAACACTGTTCATCCACTTGAGTGTCACGCACAACTGCCTGGCTGATGAGTAAAAGAACCTTCCGATTGAAATGATTTACATCCTCAACATACGCAACTGCAGCATCATGTCGTGAAACAAGTTCCCAAAAGGCAGGAGATCGCCGGAGATTAGCCTTTACTGCTTCTCGGTCAGCAATTTGGTTATGACGAAAAATCCATGCTTCGTGGGCATTACTGGCAGAAGCAATCTTTCTGTGGGCTGCAACCTTCTCAATCTTGACCGTGTTAGTACAGTTGGAAACCAAACAAGCAATACGGGTCCACAAATCTGCATGCGCACTGCTCGGTTTGATCTGTGATCCCTGCAGAACACGGCGCATCCGTCTGACCACAGCGTTGCAGTCAGACCACACTGTGACGTCAACTTTACATGTGATGGCAAATTCAAGGGCTCTAACCACTGCAAACAATTCTGCTCGCACTGCACTTTGAAGCAACCCCGGGAGCGGTCCACTTTCGAGGACATGGGTGCCCTGCAAACTGTCCAAAACCGGGGATGCAATGATCACAGCCCAGGCAGCAAATCGCAAATGTTGCTGACTCTGCCGAAAACAGCTACCATCAGTAAATAGGTTGAGGCACCCGGCAATTGCAAGTCTGGGTGGGGGCATTGGCATGGGCAATGCAGCAAAATGAGACCACCATTCAAACATCGTGGAAGGCATTAAATCCCAACCATAGCAAGTCACAGCTTCAGGCAAATCACACACCCCTTGGAGAAAATGTGCAGGCACTTCAGCTCGCGCCCAACTAAAATGCTCACACTGCCAAAATCTGTGGAAACGGCTATCGCTACAGCTACAATAAGGACAGGTGTCCTCAGTGCTTTCTTGGCTGTATTTCTTGCCATCCTGGGTAATATGCGTACCATTCAGGAGCTTGCGATACAATGCTTGGTCACTGGGGCTCTGTGCCTGGAGCCAGGCTCGAGTGGATTGCGGCCAAACAAATTCAAGACCTCCCAGAGATGCTCTATGGGCCGTAGCTGCTACCACAATCATCAACCACTGCCATTCCATGCGAAGGTGCAGTTCCGTGCATGAGACATGAAACAGAGAAAACTCCCCGAAACTGTCAACAATAAAACCGTTGCAATTGACATGCCACCCCAGGAACTGGATTCTCTGCAAGAGAGTTGCTGTGATGGTATTGTGAACACCGACAATTCCATGAGCCATGTCTGCCAAAACCAATTGGACCACATCAGGACGGCCACAATCTTTGACAAAACGGAACGACTGCTGGATGCTCCAAAAGTGAGGATCAGTTTGGGGAGTTTCAACAAGGCCTAAATGCAACACCGCATTACTGCCTGCATGATCCTCACCTAAGCCTTTCATTGCACCAGCACGCAAGGTTTGGAATGTACTTTGACTTACCATGGTTGCAGCAATGGCATGTAGGCCCTTCGGCCAGGCTGCGCACTTCAATGCTCGCACTTTGAACTTGTAGCTACAGGTGGACAACCGAAGCCGTGGCCACAATGGAACAAGCGATTGAATACGGGTCATCTGGACACTATTGGTGTGTTGTTTGGTGAACTGCATGTGAGCACCCAAGTTTTTGCAGGACTTGGACAAGATGTAACCCTGGTCACGCAAACAAGAGCGGCCCGCTGGTTGGACAGCCCAAACATGCGTCTTCTTCTTATCCAAAACCAAGTCCAAAGCCTCAACCAACTCGTCCAACGTCCGGACGGCAGCGTCCATGTGCGACGGATCACAAAGCAGGAGTTGCCAATCATCCACATATGTAATAGGTTGTGCAAGCGGCATGTAATGTTGAAACCATTCATGGAAAATGAAATCAACCACAAGCATAGCAACACAGGAAAGTGCATCTCCCTCTGGAAATCCACACGTTGACCACACTGCAGGGCTAAGTGATTGCCGAATCTGGAATCGGCGTTGCATTTGGCTCAGGGCTCCAGCCCAACCTACAAGAATGTTCAGCGGGATACCAAGGGCCGCACAGGCTTCAATGGCAACAACCCTGGGGAGCATGTTGAAGGCCTTCTGAAGGTCAGCCAACAGGCCGCATAACCCTGTGTCATGAAGCTGAGCATCTTCGATCGTCCATAACACCTGAGACCACACCTGACCTGCAAAGCACTGTGGTCGCGACCCAAATAGGCCAAGCGGCAAAAAGGGGTCCAAGGCATGCAAGATCTGTTTGGAGTGATACGATCCCCAGCAGCGGTACAACAAGCTGAACACAGTTATGGGACGAAAATCCATGGGTGTCCTTGGCTGTTCACATTTGGCTAGGCTGGTTACTCTACCCGCAGTCACTTGCATAGGCCATTCTCCATGTTCTTCTGCCCAACGAAACATCTCACAAAAGTTCTGTAAAGCAGGCACAGGTAGCGCTTTTAAATCACGCAGTGACACACCATCAAGGCCATGTGAGGTGGCGGTTTTCTTTTGCAAAATGGTGGCTCTCAGGGTTTGCGGATTGAGTTGCGGCCATTGCATTTCAACATGGGGTAACTTGGCACGTGCAAAGTTCAAAATTGGTTCCCAGCGAGAAGAGGGAACCTCAGCATGTCTCCCCCATTTTTCCCTCCAAGCCTGCATAAAGGATTGACACAAGTCATGCTCCAGACCGAGTTTGGACAGCTGGGTGACTCTGTCACCAGGTTGAATATTGGAGTGATCACCGACCCACAAACAGTCCGCTTCTGCATGTATGATTTCCACCGGTGCACCATTGCAAACAACAGGACATTCCGGATGAAAATCAAAGGACCTGTCAAGAACAAGTGAAACATCATCTTCCCTGACTTCTTGCACCACAGCCTCAACTGGTCTGACGAGTAAGTCAACTCCCTTTTCAGGATGCGATTTGATGTCTTGAAAAATCATATTGGGATTGTTTTCTCTGCGAAGTTTGGCATACGCTCGTGAAGACTTCTTTAACTGCCCTTCCAAGTCGCGAACTGCCAAGGCAACTGATTCAAACATGCAAACAGCAAGGGAGGCATCAGGCGGATACATGGGCACCTGGGCAGGGGATCCATGCACCCGAAACTTACATGTTAACCACCATTGGCTAAAGGAAGGCACAAAACCTTTGGCACGAACAATTGACCCCCATACAGCAAGGGCATGAGGGTGTCCTGGAGAGTATGAGCTACCACTGGCAAAATGAGCAAATGACTGCAACCTTCTCACTTGGCGTATCCATTGGGCATGTCGGAAAGACGCACAAAGAAATTGCGGGTTAAAGTCATTGGGTCTCCCACGCTTAACCGGTGCAACTTTATCAGTCACAATGGCTTTGGTGGTCAAAGTGGAAGCTCTTCCTAGGCATGATTTTGGAACTGCAAATGGTAAGACAGCGATGGCCGAAGTCTCAACATGCTTCCACACAGCCTCATATCTTTCATCAACAGTACCAATTGTTCGCTGCCAGACATCGGAACTCACATCCCAGTCAGACGGCCAGTGAAATTCTGCCGGCACCGGCCAAATATGCCTGGGAATGGCCTTGGTGAGCTTTGCAAACACCCCTTGTAACACTGCATGGTCTGGCCAGACATCGTCCACAATGCTACAGGCAATCAACAGGTTTTGGAGTTCAGGGGACAGGAAACAGTAATCCTTCCTGGTCTTGCGCTTGCACGTAGCCTTTGGTTGGACTCCCCATCGCTCCCAGGCAAGAAGTCACGAAAGCCATAGCTTTGAAGCAGCTCAAAAACAGGCAGGCTGTCAGGATTGCAATTCCAATCCCCAGCCACAAACCGGGGTCCAACTGCTAAACCACCAACCTGACTAACAACAGTCCTGAGGAGAAGTTCATTGTTTTGATGATGCTGTGGGTACAAATGTCCGTCTGGCTCACCGTACACAACACCTCCAGTAATCCAGATATCATCCATGAGTGTGGCTGTCACCAAAGCCCTCGAGGATTCATACACTTCCGCAGGGCCATGCAAAGGCAATGCACGCATTGGGAACTTGGATAGCATTGCAACTCCCTTCCACTGACCATGGTGAGACTTGGATGAAGATGCTGGCACATGCTGACCAGTCACAACATACCTATAGGGGCTCTGTGCAAAGTGCAGCCCTCTTTTGAAATCACTGATTCCTCTTTGGCACAAATGAGTCTCCGACACCGCCCATATGTCCCCATGAGCTAGGTGAGCCGAAACAAAAGGTGCTTTTCCTGGCAAACCTGAGGGATTGAAAGCTCCCAAGACAAAACTGTCATCTTCGTGTGGACCTGGATTCGAGGCTTCACCAAGTCTACAACCAAACACCAAAATCAAAATGCTCCAAAAATTCCGTGGAAGCAACCTGGGCACAGGCTTCCGATGGCACACAGCCAACAAAGGAAAGAGCCAAAAACATGCAGCAGTAAGCGGGCACAGGGCACCTGTCAGGCCAAGCAAAATGCAAAGGAAAATACAAAGCATGACAAGGAGGCACCCCTGCCCGTACCATCATTCAAATTCTTCTCGGGGACGCTTTGAAAGCAAACCTCTGATCTGATCCATCTGCTGAGCAAACATTGATTGAATCACTTGGTTCTGATTTTCCATGTGACCGTGCAATTGCTGTCCATGGTTGTTGATCTGGACCTGCATGGCTGTCATCTGCTGACTTTGTTGCGCAGAGAATTCGCTGAAGTGCCCTTCAAGGCCTTGCTGCTTAACCATAAGTTGCTGCACCTGCCCCTCCAACAGGCTCATTCTGTCAGGCATGTCATCCTCCATGGACTGGGCAGGGAGCTTGGCCAATACAGCGTTTTGGACTCGCGTTTCCAGTTGCATCATACTCTCATTGGTGCCAGCATGTGTGACTGGGGTACTTGGTTTGAAACCGCCCCAAGGATCCTTGGTGGACCAGGGGTCGTTATCCGCACACTGCCGGTTGGGTTGGGCACCACACAAAGCCAAAGTCGCTGCAGAGGCAACTGGAGCAGTCACAACAGGCTTGCCAACCGGGTCAGGTTTATGGCGTGTGATGACAACTTCACCATGAGATGTAGCAATGATTGTATGGACCGGGGCATCAACTGCTTGTACAATCCACATTGAACCTTTGCCAGGAAGTGGTGCCGACGGTTGGAGTGGTCGGCACTCCCATTGTGCTTGGCGCATCGCTTTACTGATAGCTGCACGATCGATTCCGAACGGAAACGGCCCCACCAGAAAAAGCGACTTTTGGCCTTGCGGCAGGTATACAGTGTCCGGTCTGATCAACTGGTGAATCCCTGAGGCCTGAGACGTGTGCACACGCAGGCCTTTTCTTTCACCAACTCGGGCAAGGCCGATGATTGCAGGGTTGGTCTGTCGCAGGTGCATAAGTTCCTGAGCACTCATCTTCGGTGACCAAACGACAGTATATTCGGTCAATATTTCAGTGCCATCAGCTGTTCTGGGTTCCCCATATGCACCTGCAGTGCCACTTGCTGCCAAAAGGCCAACCAGAATTTGTGATGGGACCCTCAAACACACTGAAAAGATCTCTGCTTTATCCATAGGCGCAGGCTTGAACCCGGCACGCAGGAATTGGCGGCGCCATACGTCAAGGATGGGTTCCTTGACTCCTAAGTTTTCAGAATTGTGCCATTGGTCACATTGGCATCCTTGTTCAAAACACCGTCGCAACAAAGGAAAATGTGTGACCAGAAAACGGATAGGCGCCTTGCAAAATTCTTCCCAGGAGCATGGTATCTCGTCTCTGTACACCAAAAATTTCACCGTGACAACATCAAGAGTGTCGAGTTCAACCAGATCATGCCCCTTGTGTTTTTCAACCAAACCTGTACCAATCTGCACCAAAGTGGCATCTGCGAGCACTGGTTCTTTGTCAACAGTGCATCTGCACGGGACGGTGACCTGAGCGTGGGGCAAGGCAGTGTTGATATGGGCATCCGGCTGATGAAGGACAACAAGTGCCAATGGTTCAGTTGAGACACACTTGGCTGACCGAAGATAGGGGTCTGCTTCAGCTAAAGTCATCATGATCACACCAGAACTCACAGGGCCAATCTGTTTGACATGGATCTGAGGGATGATCTTGTCAGCAGCACGGAAAACACCATCCACAATCTGGAGCTTGCAAGGATCAAGTTCCATTGGTACGTGGAATTTACCATTGGATTTCCCTTTACCCTTACCGCCAACACTCCCTGATTTTGATTCAACCACCTTGGAGAGTTCCGATGGGAGAACAAACTTGAATTTCTTTTGATTGCCTAACGTTTTGAGTTGACGCCAAGGCTGTCGATGTTGCATCGCTGTTAAAAGCTGCTCACTGCCAATGACCCTAATGGCATCATTTGCACGATCCTCTGACAAGTGGACGGGCACTCCATGCTGGGTCAAAACTGCGGCAAGCTCTTTCAACAAAGAGCCCTGCAAACCAAAGCCGACATTGCCAGTCAACCTAAGGTGGGCCCCTCCACACAGAAAATCAAGTTTCAATTGGTGGTGAAGACATTCCAATTCTTCATGGCAAGTCCCGCACAGGTTTAATCCCAGAATGGACGCAACAACCGACACTACATGTGCACCACATAAATTGCCAGTGCTGGGTTCAGAAACTTCTTGCACAATAAGACGTGGGTCACTCAAGGGGACACCGCCAGCAATGCATGAGTCACTTGGCAAAAAGACCCTGACAAACTGGGCATGACGGACACAGACAATGACGGACCAATGGTAATCATGCAAGACTGCCAGGACCATGGCTTTGCAATTCCCCGCAACAAAAAGCCTGATGGATTCATTCACCTCTCGAAGCCCTTGGACAATGGAGACAAATGGGACGGTACCGTGCAGCAGATCATCATGCCCTGCAGTCAACCTGGAAAGGTGAAAGACCATCTCAGCAACATCCATAGCTCGGGTGCGCAAATGTTCTACCGGGACTGGGTCTGTACACAGATGCTCAGATGCAGTGGGCACTGGGATGACAGGGAAATGCCATTGAACAAGCTTACTAATCCCGGGCCAGTCAAAGTTGTTGGCACCAAGAGAGAGGCCCTCAGTTGCAAGGGACATTTCGGCAGCACCATCCTCTGAAACATCATCAACACATGCAGCATGTTTGGAAAGGCAGGGCATTATAGGGAGTAGCCCTGATTCCCCTGGCACACATCCGTTACCCCAGATCACCGGTGCTGGGACTTCTGATCGGGTATACAAATCTTCAACAAACGCAGCACGCATGTTGGTGTGAATTGTCAGAAGGTGATCAACAGTGTCAGGCAAAACTGCACCATGGACAACATGGGCAAGGAACATCATTGCTGCTGCACCACACAAATCATGGGCAGGGAGATTCGAAGGCGCAATGTGCAGTGCAAATAATGGAAATCCCAGCTGCTGACCGATGCAGGCACACACGTCTTTGAACTTGTGAGCATCAGCAACCTCGTGAGCAACAGTATGAAACATCAAACAATCACCATGTGGGGTGATCCAAAAGGGAAACCAATGATTTTCCAACAGGAAAGCAGTGAGGATCTGTTTGCCCTGCAGACGCACATCTTGGTTCCTTTCGGTCCACCTGGCTGAAATTGTGCGCCCAATGGACTCCCAACAAGTGTACACCAATGGTTCAAAGAACGCAAAATGATTGGTGGGAGTCTGGCCCTGCTCAGCTTGGATTTCATAGTACCGGGAAATAATGCGGTTGATATGAAAACGAATTTCATCATCTCCAACTGCATTCCTGTGCTCGACAAGCTGGTCAAGTCTCTGATCACGGGACAGGGTGATGGGTAGCTGGACCGTGTCACTAAGAGACGACGCAGCTCCCGGCTGTGTGGTGTCACCCTTCGCCCAAGCCCACGGTCTTCGGGTGATGTCACATGTTGACAATGACTTCAGGAACTCACCTCGATACACATGGAACCGATGCATGGTCTCTTCTTGGTTTGATGGTAATTGAACATGCAGCAGCAAATTGTGCAAGTATGCAATTGCAAGCGTACCACAAAGATCAGAACTGATGAAAGTTCTTTTGTCTCGCTGTATGAAAACCGATACGAAACCCATGGCAAGTCCAAGACACTCAATGACTTCATTCAACTTGAGGTGATTAGACCCATCAGCATCCCACACAAAGACATGCAAGGCGTTTCCAACCGGATGCATAGACACTGGGACCCAGTGCGAGCCAATCTTGAAAACCGTGGCAACTGGCAATGACTGCGTGTGGACAAAGCCGTGCTCTTGTCCCCATAACTCACATGAAAAGGCCTTCCCCTGAACCCAGGCAGTGGCAATCAGTGGGTCAATGGTGACCAATTGCTTGACGGTGTCATGTGAAAAATGAACCTGCAAATCCACAAATTTCTGACTAAGAGCAAACAAATGGTACCGCAATTCATCATCAGAAGAAATGGGTCCTTGTTTTTCCAAAATGGCAAGACGGTCCTGGACTTTCAAAAACTGATTTCGAACAGACCACAATTGTTGAGGGGTGGAAATCTGCGGCGTTGAAAGCAACAAAAATTGGTCACCTTGCAGTCCTGTCAATGGTTCAGCATTCAGCCATTCCGGCTGATCTTTCAGCAATGCGACAGAACATTCACCGATATCATAGATGGACGGTTTCCATCCACTTGCAACAGGTGGGTGTGTCCAGGCAGCAGTGGGTGAAACAGGTGTATCCAGGCAAGTAGCCTTTGTCTCATCAGCAGTCAGGATGGCTTGTGGAATCACAGCATTGGTGTCGAATTTGACATAGATTAATTCCCCTACTGTCAAACAGTGCGAAAGCGGCAAACTTTGGCCAGAAGCATCAACGCACTGCTGGATGGAGGCAGTTCCAACCAGCTTCTCGTGTGCCAGCAGGAGCTCTTGCAATGTGGTGCCAACAGCAGGATTCAGCTTGACAGGCGCAAGTGCATCTCCATCAAAAATCACCGTACAAAAACCTGCATCAATGCAAGCATCACTTCCATTGTGATCAACCGAGGGAAAATCAATCCATGGAGTTTCATCTTCATTCATGTCACAATCAGCATCTGAAATCGAGTGCACAATCGATGATTGACCTGACTGAGCGTCACGAAAGAGAACATCCAAAATGGCTGCAATAGTGACAGGACCATCGATTTTGTGCTCCCATCTTTGCGGGAACATGAGCTCTTCAAGGGAGAGCCGTTCAACTGTCTGCCAACAATGTGCCAACGATGTGAACTTCTCAATGCAAACAGCATCATCTGGCTGAGGCCAAACCATTCCACATTTCATCAGGAGCCACGACATGTAGGCATGAAGGTGTGTTTCGGCAGAGAATTCACATTTCCCAAAGCGCAAAGAGGCAAGGTGATTGGAAACAGCTGACATGATCCACATGACCTGTATTGGGCTGGCAATTTGTCCAACAGCTGACAGAATCAACCTGGAATCCAAACCAAAATCCAACGTGGGGTCCATTCCATTCAAAGCCATTGCTTCGCAAGGGTGGATGTGCCGAATGAAACATTCCCCATTGATATCTTTTGCACTGTGAACTAAAAGTCCAAAGAGACCTTTTTCGGCCAGCCGGTGAGCAGATAAGCCACATTGGCGACATCCACACGGGCATGCAATCAGCTGGTTTCCCCACGCATGCAATGCACAGGGGGCAGTTCCCTTCTCATTGAGGAGATACTTGGAAAAATCCATGTCAGTACCACCAAACATCTGTAATTCATGGGCAGACAATTTCAAAGCCTCTTCATCGTTCATGTCCCAAGGCAAAATTCGGGGTATCACATGTCCAACAGTGGGGACAGCAAATTGGCATGAGAGTTCAGGCACCTGAATTTCACCAACCAAAGGTGACGTAAGAAGCCACCACGCACGGTTCCGTTTGGAAGGCCAGACCTGCTCCAACTTGGTATTTCTTTGCACACAAAAGAATCCAGTGATCTTGCAAAAATAGTCTATTTCAGCTTTCACAAAGGAATCATTGGCCGCTGGAGCGACACACTCCAACACCAAAATGTGAACACGCAAATAAAATGCCGCATGGAGGAGCTTTGTCAGGCAACTCGAACGTGCATCTGCTGAGCTTTTCCCATCCCCCAAGAGGGAGAAGGGTTGGCAGCTGAACCCACCAGTCATCGTGTGTGAGCCTTGCGACTCCTTCCAAATGCTGCAAATTGTGGATTTCTCTCCAACATCACCAAGTACCATGGGCACATTTGAGACAGTGGAAAAAAGCTTGACCATTTTCTCGTTGTGATCAACCGCAACAGAAGTCTGGAAACCACAGGGGAGGATTCCCTGGGAAAAAACCCCAAACCCGCAACACATGTCAATGACTGACATCAGGCTTTCCCAAGTCACTTTCTTGTGCCCCAAAATACAGCTTGAAGGATTCAAGGAAACAGTAGGTACAGGAAACTGTGAAACCAGGGTGGCATCGAACACCGTGTACCAGTCAAATCCCGCATCCATGAGGCCTGAAAGGTAAAACTGTTGCTTGGTAGGGAATACTTCCATCACATGTCGATCGTGGTCATAGTCAAAGATTTGCATCTTACATACCAAATGGATATTTGCACCTTGGTCCAGCTCACTCCACTCCATGGGATAAGATCGTGCCATGGCTTTCCAACTGAGCAAACCTACCCAAGCTCTGCCACGCCCCACCGTACCCCTGGGAGGTTTGGGCAACACGGCTGTTCCAAACCACCAACCAGTTTTTTTATGAAATATATGATATACTTACTATAGTTGATGACCTTGATGCTGGTTCACTGATGTCTTTGTCGTTTGGGGATTACTCGTAGTTGACTAACCTAACGAGTTCTTGGGACATCTCCCAATCCATAGGGAATCCAGTTCTGAACTAACGAGTTTTTTCATAGTTTTTCAAGGCACAACACAGGCGTTTGAACGCTCTTGGACCGTGGGTTTCACCAATGGTTTCGCCGGTAACGGAGGGTCACCTCTCCAAAGCTACCGATTTCACCAGAGGTGGTGCGAAACATCCAAGGTTTTCAGGATCTGAAAGCCGTTCTTGGGAGAAATGCTTTACCCTCTGGTAAACATACAAAAAACTATGGAAAATCACCATTTTTCATGGGAAAATCCACTATAAATGGCCATTTTCAATAGCTACGTTAGTTTACCAGAGGGTATTATATGAACCACGGAAAAAAAAAACACGATTAACATACCATAATACCATGGGGAGAAATGAATCTAGACATATCTAGAATCTAGATTTAGTCCCCAAATACACAAAGAAGGTCATGACCAATTCCCCCTCAGATTGAGGTGTCAGGTTTTTCACCATTTGCCATGTGTTGTTGGTAAAAAAACGACGTGCCGCAACTTACGGAAGCTTTTTTTGGTTTGTCTCAAAGTGGGGTTTTAGTTATGGACAGTTGCCATAAAATTATCATTTTTAGAAAAGTATGTATATATATATATATTATATATATACATAGATCCATGGTGTTTGTGGGTTCCCAATTTTGATACAAACAGAAATCGGGTCACTACCTACTCATGAATGGGGCCATAATCTACTTACCCATAGGGATATTGTCCCAAGCTATGCTATTCAAACGTCCCCAAACAGATAGAACAGCGACTTTAAAAATGTTTTGACGATGATCTACTTCCTATCTTGTCATTGATGCAAGTCAAAAAAAAACGTTGGAAAATCTTCAAGATGTGTTTCGTCCCACGGTCGGGTGCAGATATGTTCAGATGTTTTTTGTGGGTTTTTTTGTTGGGTCCCAACAAGAGAAAAGCAAACATCTCACTGGATTGGTTTGTTGGGGAAAATCTACACCGGAAACCCATGGATAATTTTACCATCAAATTGATTGGGTTTTCCGGTTAAAATTTTCCCATCATCCAATTCTATGATTAATGCTTTACCATGGTTAGAATCCTACCCTCTGGTAATTTAACGTAGCTATGGAAAGATCCACCATTTTTCATGGGAAAATCCACTATTTCTATGACCACTTTCGACATCTCAAGCCGCATGTTTACAAGTTGACCCATCTGCTCCATGATTAAAACCGCTCATTTCCTCGGAGAAATTCTGTCGTAGATTTTTTCCGGATCATTCCCTGCAGATGTTGCAGCCATTTCCTGGGAAAAGAACCATGGGATTTTACGAAAAAGCCTCCTGGTTGGTGGTTTCAATCCCTCTGAAGAATATGAAAGTCAGATTGGATCATCATCCCAGCTATTGGGGAAAATAAAAAATGTTCCAAACCACCAACCAGCCTCTGGTAACAAATGTTACATGACTGTGGAAAGATCCACCATTGAAATAGTGAATTTTCCCAACATGCTGGATCTTTCCAGTTCGTTTTTTGTATACGTAGAAACCAGAGGGTAACATTTATAAAACCACAATGGGTTTGTCTGAAAACGGGGGTATACCCCCAGGGCCCACGGCCATGTTAATAGGGATAATTCTGACTCACCAGTGGTTAGATTGGCAGCTTGTTGTCAGACACAAATTAAATCGGGAGAAGGCGTGGAACACTGAAGGGATAAGTATACATGTTAAAATCACTATATCACACAGTCTATATTCAATTATATTTTCATGTATAGTATAGACTGTGAGTGAATGTAAATGTATTTCCTGATGTATGCATTTATGTATATATGATATATGTATTAATTTCCTATTACAGTAAATAAATGTAAACAATATGGTATTAATATCATTTAAGATCACCAACCAGCATCTTCCATAAAAACCATCCATTTCCCACACCCAGCCTCGCTGCTAGAGGATCCACTCGATCCACTCTCGCTGTCGCTGGCCATGGCTGGATCCCTAAAAATCCTGTTACTGAAAAATGTGACGAGAACTTGGAAAGTCCTGGTTGGAGGTTACCCTCTGGTAAACTAACAAAAAACTATGGAAAATCACCATTTTTAATGGGAAAATCCACTATTAATGGCCATTTTCAATAGCTACGTTAAATTACCAGAGGTTACCAAGAAGATTCAATGAGAATCTATGTGATAGTTAAGTGACTATATGTTACGGAATATACTATACTATACTCTACTCTACTGTACTGGTTGGTGGTTTCAACCCCTCTGAAAAATATGAGTTCGTCAATGGGAAGGATTATCCATTCATATGGAAAATAAAGGTCATGTTTGAAACCACCAACCAGTATACTATACTATAGCTATAGATTGGTTTCTTTGTGAGTAGCCTCTGGCAACGCAGCTGGGAAATCTCCATCCCGGGGAAATTTGATCGGAGGACTTTTTGGTGTTTTCGACCAGACGATGGGCTTCACTATGAATACTAATTATATGGGTTTAACCACTTTATTTACTATATGAAATATCATTGAATATAGATACTATGGGTTTTGGTTGAGATAGGTCAAGTTCAACTGCAAACCTTTTGTATAGTCTGACTGAGCATCCATGGGGATGGGAATTTGCATCCAGGCAATGTTGATGAGCCACGACCAAAATTTTGTGTGGAAGGCATGTTACCCTCTGGTAAACTAACATAACGATGGAAAATCCACCATTTTCAATGGGTAAATCCAATATTTCTATGGCCATTTTCAATAGCTATGTGAAATTACCAGATCTTACTCAGGTTGCAGCCACTGGTTCCTATCAATCTTCCTATCAATCTTCCGCCGGATTCACATCCGAAGTGTGTTTTGAAGCAATCTGCCGCATGACGAACGCTGCGTTTCAAAAAGTGCTGCGTTGCAACGGGGGACCCCACGGCGCATTGGTGATGTGACTTGATGTGACCGGGTGACCCCGACTTGGCACCGAAGCTGGGTGGGCATCAAACATACCCTCTGGTTATGTCATAGCTATTGAACATGACCATAGAAATAGTGGATTTTCCCATTGAAAATGGTGGATCTTTCCATAGTTATTGACTGAAAATGGTGGATCTTTCCATAGTTATTGAGTTATTGAAAATGGTGATTTTCCATAGTTATTGAGTTATTGAAAATGGTGATTTTCCATAGTTAGTTTACCAGAGGGTAAACAGATCCAAGCATAACAATCATAACATGCTTGATACTGTGGATGGGCCAGCGAAATCCTGCACCACCAAAAGGATTGAAACCCTGCAAATAATGGGATAAACTATCTATCAACTGGTACAGGATTTCATCCATCCGCAGTATGGTTGGCAGGCTTTGCAGCTTCAAATTTGGCAAACATCCATAAATTAGATCAATTTCCATTGACAGTCATAGGCCAACGGGGAAACTGGGAGTTTCCCAAAAAGAAAACACACCTTGCCAGCTACTAGTGGCAATTCCCATCCGTGACGGGTCTCCGCAGTGAGGAGACGTCAGGAGATTTTTATGAGGTCTACCCCATCTATAGCCTTTACCGTAGGGAAAATGATGATCAACACGATTATCCTGATAACCATTCACCATTTGATAGGAAAATAATTAATGTTGGGTTAGGATTAATAAAACCCCCAAATTAATCATACCCTTTTTCACCGGAAATTTTTGGGCAATACTAAAGTCCTCTACGTGCTGATTTCCCCCCCTAATAATGGAACACCACCCCCCAATTAATCATACCCCTCCGGGATCCCCAAATTTTTGGTGGGACTAATTTGCTATTACTCCCTTTTACTTTTTAATTCGGATTACAATTTCCAGGGTTACTTCCTATTTTGGTTTACCATACGTTTTCTTATCTTTTCTCACTGGAATCTGATGGTTTACCATGGATTTTCGAATCTTCCCTCATAGGAATTTGATGGTTTCTACGTGGTTTCCTCATCTTCCCTCGAAGGAATTTGATGGTTTACCAAAGGTTTTCTGATCGTGTCTCATTGGAATTTGATGGTTTACCATAGGGTTTTCTTATCTTTTCTCATATGAATCTCATGGTTTACCATTCATTTTCGAATCTTCCCTCATAGGAATTTGATGGCTTCTACGTGGTTTCCTCATCTTCCCTCAATAGGAATTTGATTGTTTACCATACGTTTTCTGATCTTTTCTCATAGGAATCTCATGGTTTACCATTCATTTTCGAATGTTTCCTCATAGGAATTTGATGGTTTCTACGTGGTTTCCTCATCTTCCCTCATAGGAATTTGATTGTTTACCATACGTTTTCTTATCTTTTCTCACTGGAATCTGATGGTTTACCATGGATTTTCGAATCTTCCCTCATAGGAATTTGATGGTTTCTACGTGGTTTCCTCATCTTCCCTCGAAGGAATTTGATGGTTTACCAAAGGTTTTCTGATCATGTCTCATTGGAATTTGATGGTTTACCATAGGTTTTCTGATCTTTTCTCATAGGAATCTCATGGTTTACCATTCATTTTCGAATCTTCCGTCATAGGAATTTGATGGCTTCTACGTGGTTTCCTCATCTTCCCTCATAGG